CAGTAGAAGGCATTATCTTTATTACACTTGACAGTAAATGTATCTTCTTTTAGTTCCAGGAGAGACACAATCTCTGTTTTCCAAAACTGTAAGCAAACTTGCCGTCTGTTCTTGAGGAGAACACTATCTCTATTATCCAAGTTTGTTTGTTCACTATACAAATATCCTTGAAGAGATAGAACAAAAACCAGTCAGTGATTCTGCTTGCTAGATATGCAGAAACATGAGATACATGGAGAATTGCTGCCCAATAAATATGATCGTAATTTTATTACATATAAGTACAGATTGTCAGATTGAGCACAAACTCTAGTATGTTACTTGCAAGAGGCACTCCTAAAATATGAGGACATGAAAAGGTTGAAAGTCAAAGGATAGAAAAAGTTCTCTGTGAATGCTAACCAGAAGAAAAGATGGTATAACTATAATAATTTTAAGTATTGTATTCTTCAATGCAAGAGGCATTACTTGTTATGAAGAGATCATTTACAATGACAGCAGAGTCAGGCAGTGAGGTAGATGAAACAATTATACGTGGGCATGCCCTCAACAATGTAGCTTTAAAACAAATAGTTGGGTCAGTTAGATATTGGTGATATTGAGTCAATTAGATATCCTTATGAAAAAGGTAAATCTTGACCTCTACCTTACTATGAACCCAACTACTAATTCTAGATATATTGTAGATCTAAATGCGAATGGTAAAATTATAAAGTTTTTTAGAATAAAACATAGGAAAATATTTGATGGCCTTAGTGAAGGAAGACAGATTTTTTACATAGGACAGAAACTACATAACCATAAAGGAAAAAATAAATGGTATTACATTAAAATTTAAGAACTTCTGTTCATCAAATGTCAGCATAAAGAGTAAAAATGAAGACAATCTTTTTTTTTTTTTTTAAGATTTTATTTATTCAACAGAGAGAGACACAGTGAGAGAGGGAACACAAGCAGGGGGAGTGGGAGAGGGAGAAGCAGGCTTCCCGAGGAGCAGGGACTCCGATGCGGGGCTCGATCCCAGGACTCTGGGATCACGACCCGAGCTGAAGGCAGGCGCTTAATGACTGAGCCACCAGGGTGCCCCAAGGCAGACAATCTTTTCAATAGAAATATTCTACAAAGAATTTATGTCTAGAATATGTAAAAATAGGGGCACCTGGGTGGCTTGCTCAGCCACCCATGGACGTGGAGTGGTAGCATTTCATCCCCTACTGGTGAAAGTGTAAATTGGTTTAACCATTTTATGAATCTGTTTAGCAGTATCATGAAAATCTGAACATATACATATTCTCATTCAGGAATTCCACTCCATGTTACATCCTCTCTTAAGAATATATCCAGAGGAAGTGCAAATGTTTGCAAAAGGACATGTACATGAATTTTTAAAGTTGCACCACAATTCACAATATCACAGTGAATAAGTTGTGGTGTGTGTGTATTCTAGAATGCTGTTCAGCAATGAGAAGGCATCATCTATTGTCATATATAAAAACATGGGTGAATTTTTCAAACATGATACCAAACAAAAAAAGCCTTAATATATACATACTTTATGATCCATATTTTATAAAATCCTATTAAGTGCATGAAAGAGCCTTTGATCTTCTGGCAATGTTGGATTTTTGATCTGGGTGGTAGATTCGTAGGAACAGTTACTTTGAAAAGTCATCAGTTTGTACAAATGTGATTTGTGTACTTTTCTGTACACCAATGAAATCTTTACATAAAAAGTTGACTGGAAGTTCTGTGCATTGGTTGAATTTTCAACTGTTTTGTTTCCTTTTGGTGTAGCCTTCAAAGAGCTAGCCATTTAATTGTTGAACTCCCTCTGCCCACTGTTTTCTTATTGCCTAGGGCAATAGCCTGACAGCCAATATTTTCCTACCTGAGTTGGGTTCTCTGTTTTTGCTCACAAATGTTTGTGGTTTTCTGAAATCTGTAGTTGTTGGGTTCAAGCTGAATAAACCAAGGGCCTTTTCCTGGGTCAGTTATATGGCACAGGGATGGGGATAGACTCGGAGCTCAAACATTTTATATGGAGTGCCATCCATTCCCCTTGTTTTTACCTTTATCTCACTCCTGTTTTTAGTGGTACCTATTGCCCTTCATTTCTGAGATTCTGGGGTAAAATGTGGTTTGCCTCTTCTCAACTTCCTTACCTTCAGGCTTACTTCTCACCCTCTGAAGTCTCCTGATTCAGTTCCAATTCCCACAATTTTCTTGATAAATATTGCCCCCACTCTATTTATTTGTACTGTTTTTGCTTTTTAATGAATTTGTTTGTGAATGTCTACCTTTTTTCAAACATTCATTAGTTTACTTTGTGCCCAGACACTTTTCTAAGCAATTAAATATTGACTCATGTAATTCTTCTAACAACCTTATCTTGGTGGTACAATTATTTATAGATTTTCCTTAGTAGCATCTCATACATTTAGTTGTAATTTTCATTATTTTTCTGTTCTAAGTGTTTTTTAATCATGATTCTCATCATATTTTTATTTAAGTCATGTCTTATTGAGAAAAGATTTTTATTTTTTAAATATATGGTTTTGTTTCTCTTTTTAAATAACTGTTCACATCGAATAATACTTTCTGTATCTTTAGTAATGTTGTAAGCTAAGTCTCTGTTTATGAGAAAGCGGAGTCAAAATACTTTGCTTATGGATTTTTAATTTTCTGGGCAATTTTAACATAATTTATTTTATACAATGTCATTCGGTATATACCTGTTTATGAACTACATTTCATGGCAGATTTTTTTTAGTACTTTATTTTCAGACTTTCCTTTAAAAAACACCCAATTTGATAGCTTTATCCATTTACCATTATTGTGGATTCTGACATTTTTAAGTAACTTTTAACTTCTTACTTATATTTCTTCGTTTACTACCCTTCAATTTGCTTCTTTTTCCCCCTACCATCCTGTCCTCTCTCAGTGGACTCATTTTTTTTTTTTTTTTTCATTTTCCCCCCTTTGTTTTGTTCAGGAGATTTCAACTACCCACTGGTAGTTCACTAGCCCTACTCTTCAAGAGTGAGTGCATGGATTCTTGTCTAGTCTAGATTATTAATTTTATCATTTTATGAATTAGCTAAATTATTCTTTTGCAAGTAACATGCCATTTGGCAGATTTTACAATTTTTCTTTATTTTTGATGATATGAAGTTTTCTTACCTTATTTCTGTATGTCTTAGGATAAATTCAATTATTTATTCTTAATCATTCTCGGTAGTTGGAGTGTTCTTTTATTCCCAGAACTAATATTTTTTTTAATGATGGAAATTTCTCATTCTCAGTTTCAATATTTCATGTATTATTTCTCTGGAATTTATTTCATTATACTTCTCACAAGTGCTGTAAAACATTTTGTAGTGCCTCTTATTCTGTTCCCACTGTGTTTTTCTTAAAGTTACTTTCTGATTAGTTTTAAATTTACAGAAAAAATTTGAAGATAGTACAGACAGCTCCCATACACTGCACACCTGGTTTTCCCTTTTATTAACATCTTACATTAGTGTGGTAGTTTTGTTATAATTAATGAACCAATATCAATACTAACTAAAGTCAATATTTTATTCTTATTTCCTTTGCTTTTACATAATGTCCTTTTTTTTTTTTTTCAATCCCAGGATCTCATTCAGGATACATTATATTTAGTTGTCATATCTCTTAGGTTTCTATTGAGTTTGACAGCTTCTAACTTCCATTGTTTTTTATGACCTTGACAGTTTTGAGGAGTGCTGGTCAGGTATTTTTAGAATTTTCCTTAATTGGGAATTGTCTGATTTTTTTCCCCCCCGTGATTAGACAGGAGTTATGGGTTTTAGAGGGAGGATTACAGAAGTAAAGTGGCATTTTCATCAAATCATATCAAGGGCGCATACTATCACCATGGCTTACTACTTTTGAATTTGACCTTGTTCAACTGGGTAATGTTTATCATATTTCTCCACTGTACTCATTGTCTTTTAACTACTTTTCTTGGTTATTCTCCTTTCACTCTTTTTTTTTTTATTACATAGTGCATGATTTACACAATTCTCTCTTCCAATTTATTAACTTTTCAAATGTCTCTGGCCTGGGACTTCAGTTTTTCTTTTAGCAATTATATTTTTAAATGTCCAGGTTTATTATTTTTTTATTCATCTGCTCTTATTTAATTCCTTTATCTTTTTATTTTATTTCTTTTTTTGGAAGTTAAACTTTCATTTATCTTTTTGAGTATTCTAAAATTACTTATTTACAAGTCTCCCACGGACACTCAATGATATAAATTTAATCTGATGTTAATGGGACTTTTTTTTGCCTCATATTTCTCTTGCTATATTTCTATCTAAATCTGCCACTTCTTTATGTTTGGAGCAAAGGAGATTATGTCAATGTATGCATTTACTGTGCTACTTTCATATGACTGGGTATTTTCTAATTATGTTTCCTCTTCTTCCTCCTCCTGCTTGCCTTTATCTAATCCTTTATGCTTGATTGAAAAGAAAACTATTTCTCATAATGACTATTCTGAAATCCCACTTTGTTGTGAGATTGTTGTTATTGCACACCCATTCACAGAACCAGTGGGTGGCTTAGTTTGATTTTTGGTAATGAATCTCTGTTTCTGCACTCTTGTCATGGGCATGTCTCTTGCTGTAAAGTATAGATCCAGGCAACTATGCCCTGAATAAGATGGTTCTCATCTTCTGTTTTGAATGGATTAAGTTCTGGGTTTATCTTAGATGCCATTACCACATAGGAGCAAAACTTCTCCATCATTCCATTAGGCCTATAGCTTTAGCCCTACTCCCAAATTTGTACTTCTCTTAAGTTTCAGGTTTGTTGAGATGTTTATCATGTCTTTAAATTTTCACTGTCTTTTTATTTAAATCTATGTTTGCTGTATGTTTAGAGCAGGGGGATTGCAGCAATGTATGAATTTTCTGTACTATCTTCAGCTGACTATTTTTTTTAACTGTTTTCTCCTCCTCCTCCTTTCTTTTAGGATTTGTTTTGCTTCCAGGAGGTGGACTTGGCCAGCTTCTGGGAGGTGTCATTGTTTCCACGTTACACATGTCTTGTAAAGCCCTTATGAGATTTATAATGGTTACATCTGTTATATCACTTATATTCTTTGGGTTTGTAATTTTTGTACACTGTGATCCAGTACCACTTGCTGGGATCAATGAAGATTATGACGGGTAAATATTATTTTGTATGTTGGATTTTTACATTCGAACCAACAATGTATTTCTCAGTCAGTTAATAATTATCTAGTAACCCTATAAGTTTATACCATTCTTGGAATTATTCAACATGTAAAATAAATATAATGCGTACTTTCACCTTTCATATTAAGGGCAGAAATACCATAATGGTAGCTTGTGACATGGCTGCTTATGCATAAAGTACTAAAGAAAAAAAAAGGCATTGAAATGATTCAGAACCAAGAAATAATATTCTGTATTAAAGTGGCTAACAACTAAGACAGTATCTATACGAAGCCTTACCTTGTGTTCCTGAATTGGTATATCTGCCTTTTTATAGACGTCAAAGAATAGAACTGAAGTACATCTGGAAGTATGTATAAGTAACGTCTCCTTTAAGCTAAACATGCGAAAATTCAAAGAACTTGGCAGAGATTGATACTAAACACAGGGGAACAGAATTTGAATAGAAAACCTAAGGCCTGCTCAAGTAAAATAAGTAAAAAATAAGAGTTGCACTTCTACCTACAATGGAGTAGCTTGTGGCAGATCAATGCTCCCACTGAGAACAACTATAAAAAACTGAATCAAGTTTAAAAAATTTATATCAAGGCATCAGTGGATTGTTTAGGCAAATAGAAATTCCCAAAGCCCAAAATTCTGGAATAAGGCAGACCCTTAAGAAGAGAAGGAACTTTTTGCAGTTGGACACTTTAGAGATATTTGCTAATTCTCGACATTGGCAAGAAGCCGAGAATTTTGGTAAAGGTCTGGGTAAAAAGCATCTAGTTAGATGACAAGAAATCAGCACACATTTGTGACAGATGCATCAACCTAAAGAGACAAAAATAGGGCTGGGCAGGATATCAGAGAAAAGAGAGAGAGAAAAATGAGACAACACTCTGTTGGGTTTTCACTCAGTACATTTGTTGAACTATGAATGTAAGAGGCTGAAATCAAGCAGGAATCTCATAAAAAGTAGAGGAAAAGTCTAGCAGTACTGTGAAACTCTGTAGATAAGAGTGAGTTTAGAATACCCTGGGGAGAGGAACTGTGATGAACACTACATGTTCTCTGATATCTCTGTAAGGCTACGACCTAAGAGTGAGGGCCTTCCAGAAGTACTGGATCCTAGCCAGAAGTTAATTTGGTCTCTAACGGATTAATTTGGTCATCCAGCCCTCTAACTGGCAGCAGAAAAAACCAACACTCTAAAAAAAAGATAATACCAAAAATTATGAGACAAAACCGACGATAGGACAGACCACAGGGGATCCAGGTATCATCATTATCAAATAAGAGTGTTAAAACAATATTGATAAGAGCAATAATACAAATGACTATGAATTTCTCTTCAGAAACCATGGGTTCAGAAGAGAGTAAAACGATATCTTTAGAATCCTGAAAGAAAAAAAAAAAAAACAAAACAAAAAACAACAAAACCAAACCAAAACTGTCGACTCATAAATCATTATCCAGTGAAAATATCCCTCAAGAGTGAGAATGAAGTAAAGGTATTCTCAGGTGAAGGATGACTCATAAAATTTGTTATTGGCTCTAGAAGAAATTATTAAGAATTTTTTCAGTCTGAAGCAAAATACTCCTAGAGGAAAACTTGAAGGATATAGGAAGAGTAAAAGAAATGATAAATATACTAGTAAGTAGACTAATTTTTCATCTTAAGTTTAAAATATATATAACTATTGATAGAGAAGTATAACATTGTCTGGTGTAGTTTTTCAAAGGTTGTAGATATTATACATATGACAATTATAAAGGGGGAGAAGAAAAGGACCTCTGTGTTTATAAGACTTACACATTTTAAATATTGTGGTAAAATATCAACTTGAAGTAGAAAAGTAAGTATATATCCACATAGTTTAGGTATCTATATTTCTTGTCTTTGTATGGTCTGCATATGAAGATGGTTTTTATATTAGTAAGTGTCGTGAAAAACAATAAAGAACAATAGGACTTACGGTTTCTACTCCAGTATGTAAAGAGCTTGTAAGTCATCACTCCCGTCCTCACATTAAGAGAAGGGGTGAACAAATAAAAAAATCAACAGCAGAGGGCAGACTGGGCAAACTGCTGCCACCGAAAGTGGAGAGACAGGCAAATAGAATTGTAGTTTACTGGGAGCAGAGGCCATTGGAATTGAATATTAAATGGCACTTGACTAATTGCTGGGGGTGGAACATGGAATAACTTGAGAGTTAAAATCTCCTGGGGACCCAGTTGTAGGAGGACCCCACACACTTTCATGACTAAACATTCAGGTGCTCTACCAGGTTCTCACAGTGGAAACTGAGAAAAATCCTCTTGTGTTTTGGGCGGGAGGAGAGGGAAAACAACCATTTGAAATATGCCCAAGAGAAGTCCGCTGTCTGCAACAGAAGCCTACCCTGTCAGAAACCGCTTTACTAGAGTTTCCCCTGCCAAACTTTAAAAAGGAGGACAATCAGACAAGTCAGTCCTTCTCCAACCTTCCTGTCTAACATAAGGGAAGGGAGAAAAAAAGCTAAGAAAAACTTCTGAAGGTCGCAGCTTAGAGACTCGGGTGCCCTGGGGTGGAAAGAGACACAAAATCTAAGATTTAACTGTAAGATTATAGAATGATTTCCCCCAACAATATCTTACCACCACACCAATAGATACCGAGGGTTGTAACAGAGAAGCGCAGCTGAGAGAGGTGCAAGGCACACTCTATCTAGTAAAAAGATTCCAGGGAAACCCAAAGACAACCAGGAAGACAGAACAAGGATACCATGGGAAACTGAGGTCTTTGTCACCTGCAGCTCCAACAAACTGTAAACACAGCCTAAGTCCTAGACAGATAAACACAAAAACCTCATACTAAAAGGCCTATTTACCTCTGTTTTTGTTAACATGATACATAACGTCTGACTTTCAACAAACACAAGCTATTCTAAGGGCAAGAAAACACGCAAACTGAAAAAACACAGCACACATCAGACCTAGACTCAGATATGGCACAGGTTTGGCAATGATCAGACTGGGAACATAAAACAGCTATGATTAATATGCTAAGGGCTCTAATGGGAAAAAGTGGGCAACACAAAAGCAAAACTAGGTAATGTAATAGAAATAGAAATTCTAAGAAAAAATCAGAAGTAAATTTCAGAAAACAAAAACTGTAAGTGAAATGAAGAATCCCTTTCATGGGTCCATCAGTAGCCTGGAGAGAACAGAGGAAAGTATCAATGACTGTGAAGATATGTCAATAGAAACTTCTCAAACTGAAAAGTACAGAGAAAAAGATGAAAAGAAAATGAACAGAATATCCAAGAACTGTGCAGCAATTACAAAGGTATAACAAATGTACAACACATACAACGGAAGAAGGAGTGAGAGGAACAGAAGAAGTGAGTAATAATGGCTGAGAATTTTCCAGAATTAACAAACACCAAGCCACAGATCCAGGAAGCTCAGAGAACACCAAGAAGGAGAAAAAAAAATTACAACTAGGCATATTATATTCAACCTGCAGAATCAGGAAACAGTGACAAAATCCTGAAAGAAGCCAGAAGAAACAAAACCTCACTGATAGAGGATTGAGGATTATTTATCTCAGACTTATGGTACAAACAAGAAGAGAATGGAATGAAATGTTTAAAGGACTGAAAAAAAAAACCATTAACCTAGAATGCTATGTGCAATGAAACTGTCCTTCAAAAATGAAGTAGAAATGAAGATATTCTCAGATAAACAAAAAATATGGGAATTGTAAACCTGCTTTGCCAGAAATGTTTAAGGAAGTTCTTCAGAAAAAAGAAAGATGGTATGAATCAGAAATTTGAGTCCACCTAAAGGAATGAAGAAACATGCTTTGCAAGTAACTTACTTTGCAAGAAATGTTTAAAGAAGTTCTTTGGAAAAAAAGAAAAATGACATGAGTCAGAAATTAGAGTTTATATAAAGAATCAAAGAACACCAGAGAATGAGTAAATTAAGATATATTTCATTTTTATTTTTAATTGGTGTAATTGAGGACTTGTGTTCAAAATAATAATGGTGATAAGATGTTAAGTGTTTATGGATGGTGAAATGGATGACAAAAATCTTATAAAAGAGGAAGGAGGAATTGGGAATATTCTCTTAGAAGGTACCTTCACTACTCCTGAAGTGGTATAGTGTTATTTGAAAGTAGACTTAACTTGCTTGTATACTGGGAATTCTAGGGAAACTCCTAAAACATTTTTAAGAAATATAATTAATTGCTGGTACAGCTGGGCAGCTCAGTCGGCTGAGCATCTGACTTGATTTTGGCTCAGGTCATGATCTTGGGGTCCTAGGATTGAGCCTCCTGTCAGGCTCGGTGTCTGGCAGGCAGTCTGCTTGAGGGTTCTCTCTCTCCCTCTGCTCCTCCTCCTCATGCACGTGTGCTCTCTCTCTCTCTCTCTCTCAAATAAATAAATCTTTAAAAATAAAAATAAAAAGTATAATTGCTATTCTAACAGATGAGAGAAAATAGAATCTCATAAAATAATTAAAACCAGAGTAGGCAAAAAAAAAAAGAGGGAAAGATGAAAGCAAGAAAGAACAATTGGTTGGCATGTAATTCTTCATAGTCATCTCTTATGATCTTTTGTATTTGTGTTGTGTCATTTGTGATGTCTCCTCTTTCATTCATAATTTCATATGTTTAAGTCCTCTTTTTTTTCTTGGCAAGTCTAGCTGAAAGTTTATCTATTTCATTTATCTTTTCAAAAAACCAGCTTTTGGTTTCATAGATATTTTTTATTGTTTTATTAGTCTTTATTTCATTTATTTCTGTTCTGATCTTTGTCATTTCCTTCCTTCTACTAACTTTGGGCTTAGTTTGTTTTTTTCCTAGTTCCTTGAAGTGTAAAGTTAAGTTGTTTATTTGAGATTTTTCTTTTTTTCTTAATGTAGGCTTTTATCACTGTAAACTTCACTCAGAGTTTCTTTTGCTGCATCCCATAGGTTTTGGTATGTTACATTTCTACTTT